TTAGTTGGAAGGAGATGCATGGAAGGGAATGTACTATACATGGAGGAGGTGGTCCTCAAACTCTAGAATAGACTATAGAAGCACGGTTCACAAGGTGAGTTTCTTCTCCCAAGAAGAAATCCTTCTTAACAAACGGTAGAAGCACTGGCTATTATAATCTCCTCTGATTCTGAGGAGAACCTGGTGGACTCTCAGCCTGTAACCAGGAAGTCAACAAGCTGTCAACCATCTAGCATAATAACTCAGACCCAGTACAGGGGACTGCCAATTCAGAGAATAAGGAATCACAGTCTGAATATAGGAGATTGCCAAGCCCTAAAATATGCCATCAACTAAGGAGGGCTCAGCAGTAGAGATCAGCATGTGAGAAGAAAGCATGTTAATTATTCTAATCTGGCAAGGCCTCAAACTTCAGCTATTTAAGAGCATCCCTTCCATTGGGGAATCTATTACCAGATTTGCATTCCTCTGGTTTCTCTTCACATCTTGCCCTGCAAATGGAACTTTGGCTTATGACCCCCGGACTGGATTCTGCAGACTTCAACACCTCAGATTATTAGACTGCAACAAAACCTGGTCTCCTTGGTTATATTTAAGCCACAGCTATGAATTACAGGTAAGAAATACTTTCTCTGCAGATATTTCTTTGTCTAATTTACATCCTGTGCCTTAGCATTATCTGTTAACTGATTTACAACCAAGCAAATAAAAATATTAGAAATGTGCCAATTACCTCCTGTTTGCTGCCACTCAGCTAGTGCAGGTCATTAGTGGGGAAGTGGGAGGGCAGATAAAAACTTTCTGTAAGTTCTCATCAATAAATTCTTTAAGGCAGTTCAACTCTGTTTTTAACACTGAATACTAGCCTTTTACAAGAATCTTAACTCCTGGAATAAAACTGAAGCCACATAACCAACTGCATGTGGGGAGCAAAGGTAATAGTGCTACCTTTGCAAACAAATCAACATAGACCACATATTTGGTAGGCAAGATAAGAGGGTATACTTGCTGGAAGATGGTGAGTGGTGATGTTCTGATGACCTGCAAGCTGTGATTCTTGCCTCTTGGGGAATCAAATATGATGTTATCAATGAATATGTGGATCTTGAGACTGCAGGCAGTCCATTCCCAAGACAATTGAAAAATACAATGGGGAGGCTATGTAAAATTGCAGGGACTCCTGATGATTGCTAATGGTGAATAGTAAAGATTCCATATTCTTTGTAATGGGTCCTGAGCATGAAAACTAGCCATCAACCCTAGCAGAAGGAAGGAAAGGCAGAGGACATGGAATGAAACCATCCATAGTGCCAGAATCTATTAAAACCTGCGGTAGTATTTCAAAGTAGCCAGTTATCCACAATACAGATATAGGAATTGTGTGCATTAACAAACTTTTCTTGGACTGACAATGGAGCTCCACTAGCTTTCAGCTAAGTAGGTTTCATTTTCAAAGTTTCAGATGTGCAAGTGGAAGAGAAAAAGAAAGAGAATAACAAAATTTCCCCTTTTTGCCCATATTCCAACCCTATTCCTCAAGTTTTTCATTATGTCCAAATATAACTGGATTGATGTTGTCATAGTTTAGATGCGTTCATCTGTATTTCATTAAGATAGTCCATCTTTGAACTAGACAATTAAGCTGACACTGTTGAGATTATGACCAGTGTCTGTCTGTATGAGTTAGATGGCTTAATCTGTAATCTGCATTTCCTGAGCTAACAGCAGTGTACTCCTGCAACAAGCACATATCCTGTCATAAATGAGAGATTTCACAATTGACAGTCACTTGCTTGATTGAATTCTCAAAATTAGCATAGTTCTTCAGGTTTTCTGAATCAAAAGAGGGGTTGCCCATTTTGCAGCTCCCTCAGTTAGTAGACTACTTATAACTTGTTTGTGATTTGGTCAGTATATGGTCAGATGTACAATGAGTGAGGAAAGCAAATACGTGTTGGATTCCCATCCCAATTGTCAGGCAAGGAGGCAATTCTCATCAGCACTGAAAGGCTGTGGATTCACAGGTACAGAGACCATCATTTACAGTAATTCTGCCTATTTAATTCATCATCTGGGCTAACTGGTGGTCCATGTGGGTTACCACTTTGTTCTCACACTTAAAAAGGCATTGGTGACTTGATTAATAATTAATCCCAAAGGGCCTGAAGTTATATTTGACCTCTATGCAAAGGTTTTTCCTCCATAATGGGCAATCAAATCATCAGGCTTTATACCAGGGCTTAGCATAATTCTCCAGATACTTAAGCCCTTATTTAGCATTTAGCTTGACATGGCAGAAGAGACTCAGTTATAACTCAGCTAAACTAGAGCCTTTATTGAAGACAAGAACTCCTGATGTACAACAGATGATTGCATACTATAGTGCAAAGGTGTTAGAGCCTACAGAGCTTAAACTCTAGGCTTTTTCCTCCCACTTTTCTGAGTTAATAGATACTTGGCCAATTTCTTGGTGGCCCTGAAAAGTAGCTGACAGGCCTCTTTAGTCTGGGAACCAACGGTTTGTGCTTCTCCAGTTCCAACCTTTACAATGCCTCTTTACAATATCACAAATATGATTTTAAGGGAATTATGTCATACTTGCAAACTGCCCAACATGTTTGCAAGTGAAACTTGGTTCCTGAGCCAAACCTATTTGCATTCCTGAAGTAAAAATGATGAAGTATTAGTAATACCACCTTGCTACTAACATAAAAGATGTGTTAATCTATTATATACTGACTACTGCATATGGAAGCCTGTCATAAAATCCTGAGTTATACTTCTTAGAAGAAAGGAATGACATAATCTAACAAATTCATTTAAAATAACAACAACAACAACAATCACACTCATAAACTTCTTATGAATGTGGAAAGAACCACTCAGGGACATCAGGGACAGTTTGAGAGATCAAAGCACATGCAGCCGCATTAAGCCGCAGAAAGGGGAAACCCTGTAAGATGAGGAGCAGGCTGAAGAACTGTGGGTGAGCAAGGGCATTAAATCAAAAAATCTATGGCTGCTTGCCTCCATTGCTCTAACTCCAAGAAAGTGCCTCATGTTCACTTTGGGCTGATGGGTCTTCAGGTGGGTACGTCAATGCATAGCTTAATGTTACCCAATAGGTAATCAGGCTAATGGAATTTTCAGCAATCTAGTTCCATCCATAGGCTAATACAATTCCATGTTAGCCAACCAGGTTATTCTCCTAAGCAGTGTGTGATGACTTTTCTATCCATTGTTTCTTGTAGAGGAATTCCTCCAAAATGAAAATATAGCTTTAATATTTAGTTCAGTTTCTGGGGTATTCTATTCTGAATGCATTGTTTTAACAGCTCATTTTGGAAGAAACCCTCTACAATATTAATCAAGGGCTATTGGGAGGTGGGGCTTCCAATCTTGAAAATGCATTAGGCCCCCAATTCCTTAAACCAGTCTTGAGGATCAGTACTAAAAAACCTGGATATAAATGTGTGCACACATATTCCAGTAAGAATTCTAAGCTAATTACACAAAATTCTGATAAGTTCAACAGTTGCAATTATGGACCATCAGTCTCTGAAGAATGCTAAAGATTATAATTAATGTTCTATATACTATTCAATATCCCACAAGCTATTTTTAACAGTTTTTATGATAAAAGCTGACTGGCTGTTCCTAAGGGATATGCCTCACTAAACAATCTAACAATTAAACTATTTAACACAGAGGATTCCTATTTCTGAGAAACTTTTCAAAGAAATAATTCTTCAATTCTGTCTAAGCAATTACACTTTTATACATGATTATAAAAATTAATAACCTGCTAATTTCAAAATCCCAGCAATCCAGAAGACTTTGGTAGGTAGGCTGCAATCTGTGTTAGGGACTTCTACACGTACACCTTCTGAGATATCACCCCAGCATGTCCCCATAGGTGCCTGCAATGTAAGTTGGAAAAATAAAAGTCACATTACAGACAAAAATGTGAAAACAGACACAATTTTGAAAATGTACTAGCAACAATACCTTAAGGCTTACCTTTTTTTTTTAAAGATAGTATATCTTTCCTCCCTCCCCCCATTCCTCATGACAAAAGAAATTTATTTTATTTTTCAATAAGCCTCATATTTACATAGAAACTTCAAGCATGAAGGAAAATCATAATGATTATTACAGAAATAAAAAAGAAATACATCCAACATCAAATGCAGCAAAGATATAGGACCAAACAGGAAATCAGCATTTTTATGAATAAATCCAAGCAATAAAGGACTGACAAAATATGTATTTTTTAGATGCACAAATATTTTTGATTTTCTAGCACTAACCCAATACCTTATAAAGCATATGTATTGGGAATACATATACATGTGTGTGCATGTGTGTGTGCTAGCCAAACTAAAACTTTTTCTAATTGTTTTAATTAACACACTTGAAAAGCTACAAGAAATAAAATAGTTAATTGTAGCTGAGATACCCCACTGCAAATGATTGCAGAGTAACTTTGTTTAGTTTTACAGAAACTGTAAAAGAAGTTTACATGAGAGTAATTAAATGAATATATCTAAATTCTGAAAATCACAGAAGAAGTGTGTTTACTCAGGAATCAATCTTAATTATCTCAGCCCTTTCTTAGGATTTCAGACTACAAGATTATTTCATTTGGCCTATTTCTTTGCTGGTGTGGTATATCAGGTAGTCCCCACTTTAAGAATGAGTTCCATTCCCAAGGTCTGTCCTTAAGTGGAATTTGTATGTAAGCCGAAACAGTATTATTGTAGAATACTGTATAAGTAGTATTGTGTGATGAACTTGAACCATTGTGTATTTAACTCAAATCATTGTGTATTTAACTCAAATTTTGCTCCAATAGGCTCCGTCCTTAACTATCGGCCGTCTGTAACCTGGGTGTTCTTAATCCAGGGACTATCTGTACTTTATTAACTGGAAACTTGGCAGTGACTAGAGAGCCAAAACAATAATCTGAAGCTACACTAGCCACTGGATTCAGTGGGATTTACTTCTAAATCAGAATTACGGAGTTGTGCTGTAAGATGCAGATCAAGTAAAACACAGATAAAGATATAATATTTACATAATGAATTATTTCCAGAATTAATCTGATTGTAAACATGGCAATTCTGGTTTCAAAATCTTACATCCCTTTGACAACACCTAACAATAGAGAGTCAATTATGAATCCTCAGGGGAAAAAAAATCAAATTCCACAGATTCTTAATGGGAAAATATATGAGAGGTACTATATAAAGTCAGTCCTGAATATTACTTGATGTTTTCTGAAGTATCTATCTTCTGACTACTTGAAAATGGAATACTATGTTCAATTTTAGATGTCACAATTTTAGAAAAGGCAACAAAAAGAATAGAATATAGAAACTGAAAGTAGGAACTATTGTGTAAAATGTTACTAAATATAGAGGCTGCCATACAGGGTACTACTAATGTTCTTGATAGTGACAGTAAAAGAAGTGTTCTGGTAAGTTTCAAGACAACAGATTCAGGCTGACTGAATACTACAAAATAATGCCCTCATAATTATACATATTTCTTAAGAAACCCTGTACTAAATCCCAGCCTCTAAGAAGCGCACAGAAGCATTTGTTCTTTTACAAAAGATGCTTCCTATACTCCTGGTTTACTGCAGTGGTGCCAAATTGAGAGAAGAAAACTGTTATTCAAATAACCACTCAGTATAATTTCTGGCACATAGATCTCCTCATTTAGTAGTCTATCTGCTTCAAGTAAAGCTCAACATAGACAGTTTTAATACAGAAAAACAACTTGGTACACTAACATAATCTGAAACTTGAGATATGTTACTTACATGCTACACACATAGATAAAATTCCCAAATTTTAATAACTTTAGTTTCCAAACCAATCTTATTCTGAGTATTTGCACTAGGTCTGTTTCAATGAAGACATTCCAGACATGGACAAACTAGCTTAATTAGTGCTGCTCTTTCTTCAATATATGAAGCAGACTAGTCCCACTCTATAGTTTATTTCAGTTCAAACGTGGTATAAAACTGAATTCATACATGTATGTGTGTAGTAAAGCCAGTTGGCTGTGGTTTCTCACCCAACTGGCTCATAGAGTCCAATAGGCACCAGTTACCTATAGGCGCTATAGTCATTTTTACTGTTCGATTCATGACTAAAGTTTGAGGCACCAGATTTCAAAGATGTGGATTGGTATAGGGGTAACAGCAGAAAGTTAAACTTGTCCTTGTCTGTGTAAAGATAGTGGTTCAGCTAGTTCCTCCTACACCAATCCATATGGCTCTCAGTTCTGAAGAAAGCCATAATGGGTATGGATCTCGTGGCCTTGAAATGATGGTATACAGTATATTCAGTATACTGTCTTCTCCTGAACACGACGTTTACTAGCAGAACCATAAGTGTACAGATAAGAACAAGTTTACCTTCCAGACTCATGATGAAGACATCCACCTCGGGCTACTTCCCAATAAAAGGAAGGTCTGCCTGGCCACCACTTTGATCCAGCGCACACTCTGGAGGAAATATCTGTGAGGGACAGCCACCTTCCCTGCAAGGTAAGTTGCAATCAGGAAGGTCTTGATGGGTGAGGTCCAGATTCATGTAATGGGCTTCCCTATCCAAAAAAGGCTGACCACATAGTTATCTGCATAGGACAGTTAAGTATTACTATTAACTGCTCAGCTTAGTAAAAATACCTGGTGGCCTCTGGAATTTCAGGAACTAATAAATCTTTGGTATAAAATTTTGACTCAGAGGACCAAATAAGGTATAAGTGATATCTGGTCATCTTTTGCAAATGCAGTACCCACAACTATCACAAGTGTAGTCAGAGCTGCTGGACATGGACAGGGAGATTTGAGGCCAGTCATTATATCTCAAAAGTGTGCTATTATAGGTAACAATTGAAAAAGGGTTTTATAAGCTACCTTGAACTTTTGGAGGAAGGATAGAATATACATCTAACACATAAATAAATAAAATTGGAGGCATATGTACAACATGACTTTTTTGTTTTCCTTTTGAAATAGCACTCTCCTTCCTCCCCTAGTAAATGAGCAAGTAAAAGCTGCTACTTGGAATCAAGTGGAAAAAAGCATACATTTCTTTGAATTAAAAAAACTTGAATTTAAAAAGCAGAAAGGTGCCAGCAAACCAATGCCATCGATAGTTAGCTAGTAAAGAGAGAAGTGTTTCTTTCCTTTAACATTATAATTTTATTAATAAGTTGAATCTGAAAGAAATTTATGTTTTCCAAGACACATATATTCAGAAACAAATGTTATGAGTAACTCCCAATTAATCATCAACTATTTAATTAAAAATGTAGGTCAAATAATAATGCCAGCAACTCTCATGTTTGCTTGTTGTACCCTTATTGAGTCTATGTTCTAACACATACAGTCAGGTCAAAATATTAAGTAAAAATTGGCAAAGTTTTCGCTAGTACTGTACTGAAAAGAGACATAGACCATTTAGGGCTACCATAACTGGGCTGCAAAAATCTGGACAACCACTACATTACTGCCATCTGGTGATGGTCTAGATATTTTGCAACCCAGATACGGTAGTCTTAAGAAAATCTGATATAGATATATAACATTTTCTTCATTTGAAAACCTGAAAAAGCAACAAAAAAATAGTATTTCTTCAAAATACAACGAACATTCCATTTAATGGACCATTTGGAAGGAGAAATTAAATTTTAGTATCCATTAAATCTGAAATACAAAATTTGCATCAAATTACATCATTTAAGCAATTTAATAAACACCCCATGATTTAACGGGCATGGAGTGAAGGTCAGACAAAAAAATTGTCCATTGTATCAGAAGTCCACTAAACCAAGATCTTTTAACTAACTAACTATTCTGCAAAAAGGGACAGGAGGTCAGTTATCTAAAATGGATGGTTCTACTAAGGTTAGTGATGAAATCTGTATTTAGTATTATGCAATGAAGTTAAGCCTGGTGAAACCACCAGATATAAATGAGAGTCTTGATATGTTCTTAGAACAACCTGATCCATTTCTTTCAAACTGCAGTGTAAAAGCAGCAATAAAAACCTGCAATCCTTTGTGGAACATCTGAAGCAGCATATTTAATACTGCATGTCATCAACCTCAGGGTTCAATAGCCAGAAACAGCTATGAAATCAGAAATCAGAAATGCTGATTAAGAGGATATGCTCTGGAAGTAACTTCTTCAACATAATTCATACACAGATGGTCCCACAAACAAAAACTATGGTTAAAGCACCACTAGGCTGATAGTAAAAGTATTTAAATAATTAGTATACAGGAAATGAAATTGTCTCAAAATTGATTATGTGCCATCGAGTTGTTCTCAATTCTTAGCGATCACATAGGTTCAAAATACTCTCTTACAAATGATCAGTTCTGTGTGCATAGTTATACTATATCTAAGTCCATTTAGGAATATAGTACTTAAAATTAGTTACCACATAAAGTTTGTCTCCATTACTTATGTAAGAATCATTTGTTTTACTAGTTATTTATTCACACTCTGATAATGTACATTTATGCCTCTCCTTTTCTATAGAAAACATTTGGAACTGAACTATTTCAAATTTAAAACACACCATTTTTGGTACAAAATGCCATGCTTCAAATGTGAAACAGCTATTTCAAGCAATTTGAAAATACTTTCAGTCAAAATTTGGAATGCAAAACACTATCATCTGCTTAGTAGTGACTGACGCTGGAGTGAATGTAGTGGTGACAATTGCAGAATATCCAGTAAAGGATATGCATATAGTACACCAAGTAGAAATAATAATATTCTCCTGACTTTTATGTGAATACTATTTTGAAGTTTTCCTTTCCAGTTTAGTGTTATTTGCTTTGGAAATTACTTTTTAACATCAGATAAAAGGACTGAAAAGTATATGGGTTAGCACTGGTTCCTTGGGATATTTGATTCTTGAAGTGACATCCCTTAATGGCAGCTTGTTTCTCCAAACATGGGTGGCAGGAATACATTTTAACGAAGAAATATTATCCAATATAAAGATCATTCCTTTATAGTGCATAAACTTCTTTGAGCTTTGCATCAATTTGTATTATTTTTATTCTAAAAACACCGATATTTATTTTGACATCTACTCTCATCTCCACAGAAGAGTTAACTTATGTAGAAGCTACTTGCCCCAAACTGCAAACCAGTGAAACAAACATAAATAAACCTTACCAAAAAAAAAAAAAAAATTCAGAAGCAGACATTCAAACTTATGGTAAGAACATTAAAAAATAGAAGCTCTTAATTACTAATGTAAAAATGCAAATATAGGAGAAAATACATCCAATATAAATTATCTTTTGCATTTTTCTTCTCTCTGAAACCTCTATTTCAAGATCCTTCTATATGGTCTGTTACAGAAGAACTTACAGAAAAATAAAGCTGATAGTAGGACTACAGTCAGACTCTATACCTATTTACTCTATTCCCCACTATCTTTAATGGACATTACTCCAAAGCAAACATACATAGGATAATTCCATTTCAATTTTTAAAGGTTGAAATTATAGTTGAAAATCAAAGCTAACCAGTCAGAAAGACAGTCATCCTGTCTTTCTCACAGGCTGCACTGGTTCCTTTGGTTGTATGAAACTTTCTTGAGGTGCATGACACAGCAAGTAATACAAGGAGCAGAGTAAGGAAACAGGCAACAACAACAGGCTATTACAAGGCAAAACGATCTTAATTGCCATGTTTTGATCATGCTTCCTTAATAAAGGGATAGAATGCATTAAATCACAGCTATTGTTATTTTACCTACTTTTCGCTTACTGTTACGTGTTATAACAACTTCTCATCTAGCGGCTGCAATGTACTACAAGAATGAGGCCATGAGCGGCTGGAGGTAAGAGTATATCACACATACATGTGTGTGTGCGTGTGTATTTTTTTCAGGCACCATTCCATACCTTAAAACTGCCTGCATGGTTTGTTATGTTTCCGGTCAAACTGGCCCTGTATGCTATGCAAAAGAAACACTGAATACTTACAGCTGTGAGCTGAAAGCATAATTAGGAGAGTCAATGCTGAGCGTGCCTTCCCTTAATTGAAAACTGGTTTTGATCCAGCACAGGCAATTGTCTTTAATTCCCGCCCTCCCTACTGTTCTAGACAGATGTCCAGTCCTCCAAAGACAATTTTAGAGGAAAAGGCACTGCACAGGATATCTACAAAAGCCATTAACTCCTCTTCTGAATCCAACCATCACGTTTTAAAGGGCACCACTTAGGTTAACTCCAAAAGCAACATTACTGGCTGGATCAGTCAAGTTTCTACTAAAGCAAGTTTATTCTTAATCCCTGTTAATGGAAAATAAGTGCTTTAAGATTATGTAGTCCATTATATAAACACATCTTAGTAATGACAGAGTAACTTATTGTAACATGTTCCTTCTTGCAAAATCAACCTGAAAAACATGCTTGTTCTGAACTCCACCTGCTTCTGAGGAAAAATACAAAGCTCTGTTTTGTACATTAGGGAACTACAGGAAGGTTAATCTACTATACCAGATTGCACTGAAGAAAATTCAGCACTATCTAGTATCAAGTCCACAGGATTTTAAGCACCATCTCTAAAACTTCCTCAGAAATTTGTCACTGAAACTATGATAGCCACTACATAAACTGAATAGTAGAGTGCCTCTTTGGATTTGAAGATTGCAATTTAAATAATTAAGGATGTTTGGACTGCAATTTAATTTACAATATCAACTTCAATTAAGGGAAAGACCACATTTTCTGTATAGTTAATATTATGAGCTTTAATTCTCTGCATATCTAAGACACAGGTTAAAAGGAGTGCTTAAATAGTGTGTCAATACATTCTCTATTTCATTATTCTTTAATGAAAATAATGGTAAAATAAAAACAACATACTTACATGTTTAAAACAATTCACAGGTGCTGCTGTGAAACTATTGCTATTGATATAGTTGCCCCAATTGAAACCTTCCACTGGAACAGATGCTAGAATGAGAGTTATTGTATTTAGCAACAATAATAAGCAAGGTACAAAACTTACTACATGAAATTAGCATTATTGTATTGGTCTTTATTTTTTTCCTACACATAAGCAATACATATATATTTAAACTATATTTCCAATCTGTGAGAAAAATCACAGAAGGGCAGCACTGGGGGAAATTCTTCAAACAGTCTGGAAGGTCATTGTGTGCCTTGAGGAATATTGTGGATTATATAAGAGATTCCCCATCAGAGTAACCCATCTAATCAAAGAAATATAGTTATCGGATGATATAGGCCAGACCCACGAGAGTGACTGACATGAATGTAGGCATATCATCAGGGTATATAGGGTAGGTACTAGATCAGGACAGATGCACTTCTATGAGAGTGTCTTTTCTCCCAATCTATTTGGTGAAAATGATTTCCAACCCTTGACATAGCTAAAAGACCAATAATAAAGCGCAAGAAATTAACTACCATATTTTCTATTGTGGTATTTTAGCAAAGGATCAGATAGGGGATTTTAGTGTACTTCCTTCAATTTTTAATCTGACCATTCTTCCACCATTACAAAACTGGAAAATTTTCCCCATAATTGTTACTTGGTGATGGTTAATAACCATGTTACCTGTTTTAGTCTTTGATTGGTTCTGTACCGTTGCTTGGTATTGAGCATACGCAGCTAATTTAGCAACTAAAGGTTGTTTTTGTAACACTTTAGCCTTCTTAGTCGGAGGTTTTCCCTAAAACAACAAGGGCTAAATAAGGTTCTTTTCCAATACACAACGCAAACTTTTGAAGCAGTGACTCTACTGCATAAAGCAACACTATTGTTTTCCAAATTTATTTCACGCCGATTGATAACAATGAAAATTCAGGGTAAAAATTACAAGGGAGAAAAACATTTACATTTAGAGAGAGATTAATTAAACAGTGTCCTATATTTTCAGGTTGACTCAATTTGCCTTTATCAAACCATTTGCAAAAGATTCTAGCAACTGCTATTTTGACAATAATTTAGATTTCTAAAAAATGTAGTAGGTGGCAGTTCTGCCATGCCATAAACGGGAACATCATTTAGAGAAAATACAAGGTATTTTCCACATGCTACAAGGTTGATCAATGCAATTTTAGTACCACATATATTAGAAATATATCATTTAAGAATTGGACAAAGAAATGCCACTTTGCTTCCTGAAGATAATGTACTAGCTATTCCTGCAATTTCAGTCAATGGTGCTATTCTCCTATACCAGTTGTCTTATCCTGGGTGCAACAAGCTTGGAGGGAAGGGGAAGAATAAGAGATGCTATCATCAGAGTTATGGGATGGAGTAGAGATCAGGCCATTAGAAGAGTAGAGCTGTGAGATGGTTGACTGATGTTCTCACTGTTGTCCTGGTTCCCACATTAAAAAGTCTTCAGTTGTCATGCTGACTTCCCTTCTCATCTAGCTGCATGGCTAATTAATACCAGTTTAATCCAGAATAGAGATTCAGATGAGAGCAAGAATGAACCTTTCAAATCTAACAATTATAGCTGAAAACAGACTGGTATTCTCTGCTACTAGAATATTTAATGCAGCAAGTGCAATAGGCCCATGGCAGTCAAAATCATTTTACATTCTTCTTCCTAGAGTGTTATACTACATATGCGGTAAAATTAGTTGTACTTATTAGAGCTAATTTCAGGATAGACGTTCTCACTAGCTTTTATTGAAAGCTATAAATGATATTTGGATAACTGAACAGTAAAGCAACATTTACATTCATTCTGCCAAGGGCAGAAATTGAACTAGCAATTAGACTCCTTCAAGCTGAGTCACCCATATATTTAATGAATATACTTTTCTTTGATACGTATATGTATATCACATTTATTGCAATTACTGTAATAATAATGAAGTACTTGTAAAAAGGGGGTATATAACAAAATTTGCAGAAATTAACGACACTAGTTTATTGTTAAATTACTTTTACTTCCTTACCAAAACAAAATGGTTAAACTTCAAGTCTATGCACACCTATTTAAAAGTAAGTCTCACTGAATTAAATGGGACTTACTTTGTATAACCCAGCAGACAGACAAACAGAACATATTTGTTTCCCTTGGTATAACTAAATTTATATGTTCTCTATGAATAGATTCATAGTTTATGCAAAACCATGACATTTATTTTGATCTAACATTGGATGTAACATGTTTAATGTAACATTGGAACTCTGCCACAATGGGTTGTTCAATAAATCATGGTAAAAATCCTGGCATAGCATGGGATAAATGAGGAAGTGATATCCAAACTAACTACATTTATTCAGCAAACATATTTTGAAGACAGGTTACTAAATTAAAATACTAATACAATAGTTTTATTCTAACACAATGATTTGGAGGATCAGAAATAAGCTCTATGTGCATACCCTTATTCCAGTTAAACAAGGTTACATAAGCTCAAGTCTTGTCATGGCAAATTTTGACTTTGGAATTCAGGAAGTGTTCTATTGCATGTGCATATTATTATATGCAAAGAGGCTGGGAAATGCATAGGCATTCTTTAATCTAAACCATAGTTTGGAGGCTTAGAGAAAATAACTTTTGAATATATCAATACTGAAAAACAAATAATTCCACTAATGAATTTTTTAGGAAAACAATTGAAAACATGAAGTATTTTTAAAAATCAATAGTGTAGCTATCCTTGCATATATACACAGTGCTTGAATATATATGCAGTGCACCATTGCCTACAGAGCTAGAAATATTGTATAAACAATAAAAGATTCCTAGATAGGGAGGCCCTTCAGATGTCACTTATGCCCTGATTACCTCAAGTTTGACTACTGCAGGGTGTTCTACATGGGGCTCCTCTTGAAGACCACCTGGAAGCTTCAACTGGTCCAGAATGCAGTGGCACGGGCAGTGATGGGCATACCTCTGTAAGCCCACATGACACTTCTGCTTTGCAAGCTACACTGGTTGCCATTTTGCTTCCAGATGCAGTTCACGGTATTGGTCATTACCTATAAAGCCCTTCATAGCACAGGGCCTGGTTACTTGAGGGACCGCCTGTCTCCCATAGTATCTGCCCAGCCAATTTAATTTGGCAGGGTTGGCACAATCTGGGTTCCTTTGATTAAAGAATGCCATCTATTAGGACCCTGGAAATGTGACTTCACTGCAGCAGTACTTGTCCTCTAGAATGAGGCTCCCCATGAGACCTGGATGGTTCCCATCCTGCTGTTGTTTTGAAGGGCCTTGAAGACCTCGCTCTGTACTCAAGCCTTTAGAAACAGTGACTGAAGCCCCTTTTGGGTTCCATGGGTCAGTTTCTTTTTCATTCCTGTGCAGTTTTTGTTATCTTTGCCATCTTTTATTCTAGTTTTTTTTTTTTAACTTGTGAACTGCCCAGAGTCATTGAGAGGTATATAAATTTAATAAATAACCAAAATTGTCAAAAAGCAAAATGCTGATAAAAAAGTATCAGAAGATCAAATGTTCATATAATAATGAAATAGAGAGGAAAATCTGTTTTGTGATTGCAGAGAGCAATTTCTAGAATGCACTGCTGAAATTACCTACAGGGTACTTATAGGATCATATCTCCTGCTCAAATTCAACCCTTCCTATGCATTCACTCTGAGCTGGGCTGCTGAGGGTCCCCTCTCTTCATGAGGCAAAAGAAACAATGGCTAGAATGCACACTTCTCCATGGCAGCCCTCCTATGAAACAATTTGTTTCATTAAGTACAAGGAGTTCTACTTCATTTGTCTTTCAAAAGGCAATTAAAACCATCCTGTTCCCTCAAGCTTTCACTGTGGATCTGGTGGATCTGGGCTGCTATTATACTTTTTATAAAAATTTTGTGTTGTTATTTTTCTACGGATCTCTATTATAAACTGCACTGAGGAGTTATGTAAATCATTATATAAACAGACAAACAACTAAATCTTATGGTGAGTTTTTGACAGGATATAGCGATGGCCACAGGATTGTGAGTTATAAAGAAGGATTCAGCAACCCCTCCATGAATCTGTCTTGCTGCAGCTATTTTAGAATGCTCAGAAACACTGTACAATTGAGTTCAGTTCTTAGGGATAAAGTGAGAAAGTTCATGCCTTCATATCCTCCATATGATTTTATAGGAGGTCTTTTGATGGCTGCAGGTGGAAACCAAATGCTTGATTCAGACCTTTGGACTAATGATGAAGAGCCATTGCAGTTATGTAATAATCTGAACTATAACATATCTTATAAGACTTTATATAGTAAAGATAATAAAATTTGTGACTGTACCGTTACCTGAAGTCTGGCCAGAATGCTGGCCTTCTTAGAGTTCGATGAGTAGCTTCTTGAGCAGGAAACACTGCAGAAACGCTTGGTCTTAGAGTAAAAGGCATCTCTGACACCAACCATCCCACACATTTCACAGGTGGCTAATGAGAGGAAAGATACAGTATGTTAAATGTAGGTTTACTCTGCAGTTCACATAGAAGCTAGTGCCATACAATGCACATACATATACCATTTCCTTCAGGAATCATATTAAGCATATGTATATTAATTCTTCGCAGATTCCAGATTACTTTTTTTCTTGATTTTACTATTTTCCTTTTAGACTTTAGACTCAGATAGTCCGTTTCTGCTAGAGAGACTAGGCAATTATTTGCAAACATATTTTCAAACATTCGGATATTTTTGAATTCTTCAGATGTTATTTCTTGCAATGTAACCATTCAGTAAGCATGCCTATCATGCTCATGGTATTGTTATGGCATTTTCCTGAACTTATGGCAAAAGCCAGTTTAAACACTGAAACAATATGAATATGTTACTGCACAAATAATAAGTAATTATTGTACTATTTATTCAATTTGTATGGCTGCCCATGTCATGTAAGTGACAGTATACCACAGTGTGAACATCTATCAGTCACTGTATCTCATTTATGGCACCGATGTCCTGCTGGTTAAAATAGCAAAACACACCATTTTTTAAACAGCCCTTCTATGGGAAGTAAACTATAATGTCAAAAAATGAAGCTTTTAGACATTATAGCATTATCTCACAAAGCAAGAAGTGATATTTAGTTAGGACACTTGAATGTAGAATAATTAAACAGTTTACCCTGCCATAAAATTATACCCTGCTCTATAAAAGATTGGTCACCTCATCCCAGATCATGTTTTAGTAATCTGTCTTTCCATTATTTTTCAAATCTGGATCAAAGCCAGCCAATCTCCCTATCAGGCTTATTATATTTTGTGTATATTCATTCACAAGGAAAAATAAAATCTGGACTATGGCTTGGGAAAATCAAAAGAAAAAACATATTTATGGTCCTGAATTTCTTCATAAAGGTTACTATGATTTCTATCAATGTTTTCAATGTATTCAACTTGATCCCATCTTCCCACATCCAGAATAAAACAATGTGATATCAGAATAATCCTAATATCAAACAAAACTAAATGCTTGTTATGTAAAAATAATTGCATAAATAGACATTTAATAGGATGCATATATACTATTACAAACATTTTAATGGTAATTTAATGCTAACAAGGAATATTTATTTATTTATTTATTTAGTAAGACATACACAAGACAACAATTTTTGGCTTCTGACTCTAATAAGAATGAACCTAAAGGCAGTGCTATTAATAGTCCATTTGACTTAACATTCCATTGAAAAATCCATTGTATTTGTACTCACCCATGCCAGATTTGCCATCTGGGTAAGTATAGACCTGCCCATTGTTCTTGATTATTGGGAGATTGGAAGGTAAGGGAGCAACCTCCTCTTCACTTTCATCAGAACTGGAACTACTACTTGTATCCTCACTGCAGCTATCATAGCCATCGAACATCCCGAATGAATCACGTCTCTTCCTTTCTGACCGTGAAGGATGTTCAGTCTAATATGAAAAAAGAAGAAACTACTGAAATATCTGAATAAAAAGATGAGAAGGAAATATTGCAGCAATTTAACAAGCTTATATTAAACGTGCATGTAATTTGCTCTTATAAAATGATACTGTATTGTGCAATCTCAATTGTTGAAACAACTCTAACTCATCATGTAGACTGGGGAAGCTTGTGACGCTCCAGATGTTGTTCAGCTATAGTTTCCAGCATCCTTCATCATTGAGCATATTAGCTGAGACAATTAGAAATTACAACACAGCAATAACTACAAAACCACACATTACCACTCCTAGTTAAAAGAACAAACAAAACTTTGCAAAAGTTATACTGAGAAAAAGAAACCATAATATGACCAAAATGAATTTTGTTTATGGGCTTTAACACAAGGAAATTATTCTGAACTCCAAAAATTTCTATTTTGTTATTGATATATACTACCTTTCTTCTATTATGGATGTCAAGAGACAACACAAAGAGCTTTGTTACAAATAGGAGAATGCATATGAAATATAGCATCAATTTAATATACTATAGGATGATGGAAAACCAACTTCCCTGGCCCTAGCTCCATATTATAGCCGCTTCAGTCATCTCTTCTCCAAAATAACATAGAGAGGGTCATGAATCAAATGGGGTAGACTCTGTGATGTGGCTGTGGGAGAAAAGAAGTTCCTGAAAATTGGCAGAGCAATGAACAAATGTTCCTCTTCCTGATATTCATGGATTCCCTTTTTCATTAATTCCCAATACAAAACCTACGCAATTCAACAGAGTTTCTGATCCTCTGTGTATATTTTTAGGGGGCTGGAAAGGCTTCCTGAGGGAAGAGGCCTGCTTGCACTAGTCATTCTGCCCCTTACCTTAAAAGATTTCGATGAATTCCCTCCCTTCAGGATGGAATACCAGTGACATCTGAAGTCATGACAAAACTCCACAAGATACAACCCTACTAAAGCTGTGCCTAAAACCTTATTTTCTGCCATTTTCCAGGTGATTTTTGAAAACAATGTTTTCTCTTCACGCTAGAAATAGAGAAAAACCAACTTTAGAAAAGTACCACTTCTATTCTTCACAATGCTAGAGTTCTGATTCTATCAGCCACTAAATACTGCCAGCTTCTCATATGTTTCTCTTTCACGTAGTTTAAACTACTCTCATAAAGTTAACAATTTGCCATAGAAACATCTCCATGGCAACTGACAGAATGAAACATGCAAGCATCACAAAACTTAAAAACCTGTGTGAATGTCTGCGTTATGCATTACTACAATTATTCCTACTACATGCAAATTCAGAAAGCATTTTCTAGAGAAACTCATTGCACATACTTAATATATCAAAAACAGCACAAAAATGTTAACTAAAGATAGTAATAAAGGGATATTTAGAATTGTATCCAGTTGTATCCACCACTGAAGGAATGGTACCCACACATAAAATGAAATTCCTCTCCTCTTGTACTTCTCCATACTAACATCACATTTGATCTGATTGGATGGGGACTTTGAAAGATTAACAGAGGCATTGAGAAAATAAGAGCAAGCAAATTCCATTAGTGAAGCACTGAATAAAACTGTTTTACAGCTAAGAAAATTGGACCAGGAAGAGTACAGCACAACTAAAATTTTCACAAAACTAAGAAGCTTTCTTTTCCACACTTCTATCTAAGTTCAATTTGAATGTACTAATCTTTTTGGAGCCCAAAATTACATAACCATTTATGAGTTACATTTTGCTCCTAAAACAGCTGCAACAGAAAAAGTTTCCTCCATCTAATATTGTTTAGACGTAAAATGCATTCTACATAATCACTCCAATTGTCACATGTAAATATTGAAAAGTATTGGGGCATGCTGGATTCTTGCAATATTCCATACATCTGCTCCCCCTGCAGTTATTCAGTGGTATCTTTTGAAACTGACCATTTGATTAGAGACCCTTTACTGCATAACATTGGAAAAATTATTGCTTATGAAAGTACAATTCCATACTCCTTCTTGCCTTACCTTGAATAGACTTTTTCAGATCACTTGAAAATTTATAAATATGAAAAACTGAGATAGACTGTTCTATTTTTAAACAGTCATAAAAGGAATAGTGGGGGGGGGGCAGCATGTTACTTTATCACCTAAACTTCTAAAATAAGAAAGTAATTCCTAACACTGCTCAATTGACTTGAACGAAATAATTGATCACTTCACATGACTGGCAACATCAAGAAGGCATTATATGGATACTGATAAAATAATCTGCTACCATGAAGAGAATTGCCCTATAGCTATTATATATTTAGTACCGATTTTTATTTTAAAGACCTAATCCTGGCATTACTGAGACTTTATTTTATGATACACATTTGCAAAGTAATATCTTACAAATCTTCTCTATAAATCTGATTTTAATCTTTTATTCAGAATACCATCCTGAGTTACTAATTTCAACAAAAACAAACATACACATATTAGTTGAACATTATTCTCTTTTCTCCATAATAGTAAGGCAGAAAAATCTTAAACTGAGTTATAGGCTGGGTTGTAGTATAGGAGAGGAAATAACAGATTTGCTGCTTCGTCCACAGCTTTATCAGCTATGAAAAGATGGGGGACAGAATTTCTTCTACACTGCCAGACTAGTTTTGGGGGCTTATTTGTTTTTTTGTTTTGTTTTGTTTTTTTGATTTCCCTTTGGCTGGTTTATATAGAAATTTTCCCTGGTCAACCCTAGGCTGAGGGACTAGAATTGGGCTGTTTTTAGTAGAACAGGGCAGCTAGCAGGAACTTCCATCCTATAGGGGCAAGAAAGATCTGTCTCTACCAAAATATGATGCAACTATCATCCTGGAATATGTCACTTACCACATAATGCCTATTTCTTAAACAGAAAAATAATCATGGATTTGTTCCTTTACCACAACTAATCTATATTATAAACATGCAGTAGTTCAGTTCTCACTTGCATGCTTATTAGTGCAACAGACT